TAGCGGGACCCCCGCAGCCCCAGGGGTGGGAGCTGGGGAGAGGAGGGCACCAGCAGGGAGCCCTGGGGTCCCTGTGGTGGGGGTGGCAGGAGGTCCCAGGGCCAGCTCAGCCCTTGCTGGCACATCCTGCCGGGTGGGAGCAAGGTGGTGGTGGTGAGGTGTCCCTGTGGCCCCAGGGGGATCCTGCCTGCCTGCCCACTGGGGTTTGGGGTGCAGCAGCAGCACCCCAACAGTGGCTGTGAGGGCCAGGACAGCCCCAGCACAGATGCTGGAGCCTGTGGTGGCTTCGAGGGGCTGGAGCATGGCTGAGACAGCAAGAGAGGTGGGATTCAGCCCTGGGTGAGCAGGTGCCTTGGGTCCCTGAGGTGTCCTGCTGTGCTCTGGGTCCCTTGGGTGCTCTGGGTCCCTGGGGTGCTCCAGCTTGCTGGGGAAGCAATGCAAGCAGTGACTCCCCACCAAAACAAGATGTTTCTTCTGAAAATCTTCCCCCTTCAGACCCAACAACAGCATAAAGTGGGCTTCTGCTGGGGCAGCCCCTCCTCACCGTGTCCCCATGTCCCTGCAGGGGCCAGGCACCAGCAGACCCAGCCACAGCCCCTCATCCAGGGGGTCTCACCCCAGTCCAGGGCTGGACACTGACGCCCCCAACATCCTGGGGTCAGGCAGGACTAGCCAGGCAGCCACTGGGCCGGGCAAGGCACTGACCCCAGCAAGACCCGTCCCCTTGTCTCCCGTCCCCCGGCTGCTGCTGCTCGTCTGCTTCGTTAGTGACAATTAAACCTTTAACAACCCATTAAACGCATAATCGATGCTCCCCCAGCTCCCCAGCCTGGCTAATGGGCCGAGGCCGAGGTGAAGCGGCCCCGGCAGAGACCTGTTCTGGCGGGGAGATAATGAAGCAAAGGCCGCGGAAGTAATGGGGTTTGATCCGGGGGACGGGACGCGCTCAATGGGGGCTGCGCTTTTCACATGACATAATGGCCAAGGCTGGCGCCAGCCCGGGGCTCCCCTCGGCCTCCCGAGCACCAACAAAGGCCGCCTGGCGCGGGGAGCGGGGGGTTCGGCACCCCCGACCCGTTTGATGGGAGCCTAATTGGGGCGAGGATGCTCCCCCTCCTCCCATCCTGCAACCGCCACCCAAAAGCGAGGGCACGGAGAGGCCCCGGGTGAGGCTGCATCTCCCCGGGTGTCTGGGTTGGAGGGTTATGCTAATTATTTAACCGAGCTAATTTGCATGGGGGTGGCTCTAGCATCATTATGGGAGATGTCAGGGTACCCTCACAGGGGGTTGCCTCTTCCACCTCACAGCCCCCCAGTGTCGTGCTGCTCTTAGTTCAGAGAACAGGCAACATTTCTAGCCCCCCAAGAATGCCTTTTAAAACCAGAAAAAGCCACAGGAGCCACCTGCCCATCCCACTTTATTGGTGATTCTTCTGGTTGGGACCCAGCAGAGCACACCCAGCATAGTTTGCAGACACCTGCACGTGGGGCCACATTTGAGAAAAATCCACCAAAAAAGGCATTTTCCTTCCCCATCCCGATTCTGTCCTGAAATCAGTCGCTGCCCAATGGGGCCAGCACAGCCTCACGCCTGGGGTTGCACTGGGAGGACTGGGTGCTACTGGGAAGAGCTGGAGGAAGCCCCTTGAGGCAGAGCAGAAACCCTGTCGCTCCCACCCCCTCTAATCCCCTCCCGCGGGATTTGCCCCCTAATCTGCTTATTTCTCTCTATTTCGCCTCGGCCTGAACAAACCCAACCCTGCCCTGGTGCAACACCTCGTGCCACCTGAGCTGTGGGGTCCGGGCACTCTGTCCCCCGGCTGCCAGGCAGTGTCCTGGCATGTGGGGCTGGCACTGCCTATGGGACATGGGGCTGGCAGTGCCCTGTTTATGGATCTGGCACTGCTCAGGGGACATGGGGCTGGCAGTGTCCTGGCACGTAGTGGTGGCACCCACCTGCCATCCCCCGCTGCCGAGGGCCCAGCTGTACCAGACAGTGAGCCCCACACCCCCTGGCACACACCAGGATGGGGCTCACCCCGCCCAGTGCTCCCCTCTACCCACATCCCCTCCTTCCCCCCCAGCCCCTGGCTCCCCAGCAGGACAGACACGGCCCAGGGGGCTGCGGTGACAAGGGGAGGCCATGATGTCCCTCTACAGGGCTTGGGAACTGGGAACCTCGGGGCTCAGGTTCTCCTCTGGAGTGTTGACCCGGGACGCCCCGACTGCCCCCCAGCCCCCATGGGCAGAGGCAGAGAGGGGGCTGTGGGGGGGCGAGGCTGGTGGGGAGGCCACCAGCTGCAGGTTGAGCTTGGCAATGAGCGGCCTCCCCACGCTCACCACCCGCCGCTCCTCCAGGAAGTCATCCACGCCGCGGTAGCGGTACTGCAGGCAGATGGTGAACACCAGCTCCTGCTGCGGGAGCACAGGCTGGGTCAGCAACTGCCCTGGCCTGTGACCCTGGCCCTGCCCTGCTCCTGGCACTGGCCCTTGCCCAGCCTTACCTGCAGTTTCTGCAAGCCACAGAGCCGGCTGTAGAGGCAGCAGGAGGGGCAGCCAAGGCTCCAGGTGGGGGCCAGGGGGCTGCCCATATCCTCTGGGCTCTCCTTGTTGGTGCACTTGACGTCCACGTCCAGCTCCTGCCATGGGCGGCATCCAGCTGTGAAAATCACCACAGGTCCCCCCGTCCCGTTGCCCAGCATCACCACAGCATAGGCTTCACCAACCCACTCGCACCTCGGGTAGGTCGGTGAGCTTGGCCTCACACTTGGCAATGTCCCCAGGGGTGTCCAGCACGCGGGTGTAGATGATCATGATGTTGGAGAACTCAGCAGCAAAGCCCAGCTGGACGGTGACACCACAGTGGAAGCGGAGGTGCCGGCTCTCCGGCAGGACTGGGGAGGGGACAGTGAGCATGGGGCTGGGACCAGCAGGTGCTCAGGGCCAGAGCTGCACCCACAGGGGACATGACCAGGTGGGTCACCCCAGAGTGGAGACACTGACATGATGCTCCTGCCACTTGGCTGGCAGCTCCGTGCTGGTGGTTTCTCTCCCGCAGGGCAGGAGAAACCCCGCAGGTGCTGCCTGCCACTTCTCCCTGTGACTCAGCACCATCTCCCCTGGGTGCCAGCTCTGGACGGGGTGACCACGACCCTCACCGTGAGCCTTGGCCCACTGCAGGTTCCTGGCAGAGGACTCGTCCCTGCCCAGGGGGCGGATGGGGTCGGTCAGAGCTCTCCTCTCCGACAGGTTGCTGCGGAGCTCCAGCGCCTGCCGGCCCCGCGTGATCTCCAGCATGCCCATGTCTGCAGGGGGCACAGGGGGTCACTGGGGGCAGCTGGGGGTCCACTGCCCCCCATCACTCCCCACTCACCCTCAGCCACCTTGTCCAGCAGCACCGTGATCTTCTCGTCCTCCAGCAGCCAGCGCTTGAGGAAAGTGACGAAGATGCCGTTGGAGAGCTCGCCCTGGCTCAGCTCGTAGGCTTCAGCATCTGCACACCTGTGGGGATGAGGCAGTGGTTGGCACCATCATGGGCTCCATCACCCCCTGGGAACTGGAACCCACCAGAGTGACAGCCCTGGGACAGCCAGAGCCAGGTGCCCATGGCTCTACCCGCCTCCTTGACCCATCCAGCCCTGTGCTTGGGAGAGGTGGGAGCTGCTGCTGGATCCTGGATGCTTAAAGCAGCATCAGCCTAAATTCCAGTGCTCCAGAGGAGCCTCGGGGCTCAGTCCCTTTGGGTGCTGCCTGAAACCCAGCAGTGCTGTGGACATCTTACGGCCCTGCAAGGGACCGGGGGCTGCTCCTCACCCACCACCTCCAGCATCAACCCGAGGGAGGGATGATGCTGAGCCACAGGGAGGGGAAGGACATGGGAGCAAACGGCGGCCCCGCGTGATCTCCAGCATGCCCATGTCTGCAGGGGGCACAGGGGGTCACTGGGGGCAGCTGGGGGTCCACTGCCCCCCATCACTCCCCACTCACCCTCAGCCACCTTGTCCAGCAGCACCGTGATCTTCTCGTCCTCCAGCAGCCAGCGCTTGAGGAAAGTGACGAAGATGCCGTTGGAGAGCTCGCCCTGGCTCAGCTCGTAGGCTTCAGCATCTGCACACCTGTGGGGATGAGGCAGTGGTTGGCACCATCATGGGCTCCATCACCCCCTGGGAACTGGAACCCACCAGAGTGACAGCCCTGGGACAGCCAGAGCCAGGTGCCCATGGCTCTACCCGCCTCCTTGACCCATCCAGCCCTGTGCTTGGGAGAGGTGGGAGCTGCTGCTGGATCCTGGATGCTTAAAGCAGCATCAGCCTAAATTCCAGTGCTCCAGAGGAGCCTCGGGGCTCAGTCCCTTTGGGTGCTGCCTGAAACCCAGCAGTGCTGTGGACATCTTACGGCCCTGCAAGGGACCGGGGGCTGCTCCTCACCCACCACCTCCAGCATCAACCCGAGGGAGGGATGATGCTGAGCCACAGGGAGGGGAAGGACATGGAAGCAAACGGGGCTGAGTCGTGGTGAGAGGCTGAGCCCTGACCCCTCTGTGAGCCAGGGAGGGAACCTCAGCCGTGCTGCCTGCACCGGGGGTGGTGGGGAGGGACCCACGTGGCGTAGCCGAAGACGATGTTGGCCGTGACCTGCAGTGCCCCAACCTGCGGGATGAGGTCGTCGTTGAGGTTCCTGTGAGAGAAGTACTGCTGAGCAGAGCCAGGACCCACTGCCCCCCCAGAACCCACCCTGAGGCACCCCAGCCCCAAGGGGCTGCCCTGTGTCCCCCTGTCCCATGCCCCTCTGCCCACCCATCGTGGCATTTGCCAGCTCAGCTGGGGCATTGGTGCTTTGGAGCATCAAGACAAAGCCGAGGGGACAGCCCACTCTGCTTCCCCAGGATCCAGCACCCACAGACACCCCTGTGCTGGGAGCCCCCGGTGTGGCAGCATCGGGGCACCTCTTGCGGCACATGTCGAGCAGGAAGACGTTGAGGCCAGTGCGGCGCTGCTGCATGGCCCGCAGCACCCGCTGCACGCACAGGCAGTGGGCAGAGCTGTAGGAGCTGGGCGCGTCGATGGGCACCATGAAGCTGTTGCCAAAGTTTTCATAGCCATGCCCGGCGTAGTAGAGCAGACCTGCGGGGAGGGGTGGAGAGCAGGTGACATCCCTTGACCTGCCAGTGCCTGCTTCTTGCCCAGCCACCCTGCAAGAGCTGGCACAAAAGCCCCCGGTTCCCCCCTGGCTGGGGCCACCCCGGTGGGTATCACCACACCATAGACACCCTTGTCCAGAAGGAGGAGGAACTCGTTGACAGCCGTTTGCATCTCAGCCTTGCACAGGTCCAGCAGGGAGACCACCTTGAAGTCGAGCTGGCGGAGGAGGGTGCTGAGGGTGTGCACGTCCACCATGGGTGCCTTCAGCTGCTTGTGGTGCAGGTAGTGCATGTTGCCAATCAGCAGGGCCACTTTGTCGGTGGCTGCAAGGACAGGAGAGGGAGGTGCTGGAGTCAGAGCTGAGCACTCCTGCTGTCCACACTGCCCACAGAGGTGACACATGGTTGCGGCCACTGTCCCTGTCTCCAGGTACCAGGGTGCCCCATGGTGTCCCATGCCTCTCCTTGGCATGCTGTGCCCAAAGCACCCTTGGCCAAGAGGAACCTTTGGGGTGACACTGGGGACAGTCACAACCCCACAGGGCCACCAACTCCTCCTGGGCAGGCTCTTACCATACAGCTGGCCAGGACTGCCACGCTCTGGAGAGCCTGGAAAGAGAGTAAGGCTGTGCCACAGTCCTGGGAGTGCAGTGGGCAGAGTGGGGATCTGCCCGCTCTGCCCTCACCTACCTCCATCCCCCTCCTGCCAGGAGCCTCCAGAGGTGAAGAGCCAGGGCCCTATGGCAAAGGCAGGAGTCAGAGGTCCCTGTGCATGGCAGCACCCATCAGAACAGGGTGGAGACCCCAGAACTGTAGGGTAGCCATGAAAGGACAGGGGAGCAGAGCAGAGCCAGGACACCCCATGCAGAGCAGGGGACCACAGAGCTTTGTCTGGAGTCCTCACCGATCTCCACATCCACTTCCTGGCTCCACACCTCGTGGAAGAGGTTGAAGACACGGCAGGAATAACTGCCCCGCTCAGCTGTTGTCACCAGCTTCACCTGTTGCTGGGGCGGTAACCACTGGCTGGGGAGGGGATGGAGCAGCAACCCCAGCACCCAGCCATGGCAGAGCTCTGCTGAGCTGCCCCGGGTCCCTCACCCACAGGCCCTGGCACCCACAAGGAGGACATGGGGCATTCGGCTCCTCTGTCACCCCAGCAAGCCCAGGGACCTCGTGGCTGAGCCAGGGTGCAACATGGCAAGTGACACCCCATGGCAGCCACCCCGCTCCCAGTGGGGTGAGCAATGCCCTGCGGGAGCCACCCTGGTCCTCACAGTCATGCATGTGCCAGCCCAAGGGACACACGACTTGGGGCCCACCTGAGCTGGGGCTGCTGCTCTTCTCCACCTGGATGTGGGCCCACCTGGAGAAGGCAAAGGTGGCCCCGCAGTTCACCCTGCAGATGTACCAGGCAGGCTGCCCTGGTGTCCATCACCAGCTCAGGGGCCGTGGCTCCGGGAACCTGCCAGACAGGAGAGGCCCGAGGAGTCGGGGTACAAGGAGACAGGAGCTCCCTCCCACCCATCTGGGTGTCCAGGGGGCCTCACCTCCTGCTTCCCACAGAACCACTGGTACGTGAGGCCTGGTGGTCCAGACGCCCGGCAGGTCAGGGACACCCGTGTCCCCTCTGGCACCACCTGTGATTCTGGCTGCACTGTGATGCGGATCATGTCCTGCACTGTGGGAGAGGAGAGGGAGAGGGACCAGCTGGGCTGGCTGAGACCCCTGTCCTGCACCATCCTACCACAGTCCCATCCTGCCTCATCATACCCTATCCCACACCCACCCACAACAGCCTGGCCTCTCCCATCATGTTCCACCCCATCCCACCATGTCCCATCTCTCTGTCCTGTCCCAACCATCTCATTCTACCTTGGTCCATTCAGTGCCGTCCCACCCACTCCACCCCACCTCATCCTGATCCATCCTATCTCACCCCACGCTACTCCACCCCATCCCACCTCGTCCCATCATACCCTGTCCCATATCACCCTACCCTGTTCCGTCCCATCCCTTCTTATCCCATCACCACCTGTCCAATCCTGTCGTGTCCCATCCCACCATGTCCCATTGCAGCCCATCTCACCACATCCCACTGCCCACCCCCTCCCACACCAACACATCCCATCCTATCTCACCCTACTGCATCCATCTCATCCCACCCCACCAGCCCAGGGCCCTGCTACCCAGTGCAAGCCCACCAGCAGCAAGAGCTGCTCCTTATTTCCCCCTGCTTTCCTCTGCTGAGCCCTATGAGACCCTGTGGCCCATCCCTACCAGCACTGCTGAGGACCTGGCAGGCCCTTGTGTGCCCCATCCTCTCCAGGCAGCCCAGCAGGTACTTGAGGCTGCAGTCGCGCTCAGCCAGGAGCTGCAGGAGACACTGAGTGGGGCTCCCACGAGGCTCCAGCACCTTCAGCGAGCACATCTCCAGCTCCTCCATGCTGAAAGGCACCCACAGCACCTAGTGCTGCAGCACACCTCCCACCCAAGGAGGACAGGGACCCCCACTGGGGCACTCAGCAGTGTCCCCAGCCCAGACTGTGGCCATAACAGGGTGGCTGGGGGACCCACCTGCCCCTCGCTCAGCCCATAGCAGGGCTGGCCCACTTGAGCTTTGTCACCTGGTGTAGGATGAAGCCTTGGAGATGCCCCCTTGTCCCTACCTGCACCTGAAGCGTTTCTCTGCCCCAGCCACCTCGGCCAGCTTGCGCCAACCCCAGCTGACATGATCCAGGAGCTCGCAGAGCTGGGCCACCACCTCCTCGCCCAGAGAGCCAATGGGCACATCCAGGTCTCCCATCCTGTCCCAGCCCCAACACCACCTGCCTGGGGACATGGAGGGTGACAGGAGCCCGAACTGTGCTGGTCACCACCAGGTGCTGCTCCAGCCTGGAGCAGGGGGGCTCAGGAAGGAGAGCACCAGCATGAGCAGAGCATTGTGTCACCTCCCCAGAGCTTGGAAGGGTTTTGGCCTCTCTGGGGAGGTGTCCACCAGAATCTAGCCAGGAATGACACAAGTTCCCCCTCCATGCCCAGAACACCAGAGCATGACAGTGGTACAGGGGTCCCCACTCACCCCCTGATCTTGGACAAGGAGTCGAAGCCACATTAGCCAGGCCCCAGAACAGAGACCTTGGCAGGACATGGAAGGAGGGGTTGTCCCTTGTCTCCTTCCCCGTTCCTTCAGGGGACACAGAGAACAAGGCCCATCATGGAGGGCTGAGCCCAGAGACCCCTGTACTTCTGGCAGAAACCCCAGAGGGTTGGCAGCAGCCCCCTCGCTGTCACCAGGACCCTGGGCAGTGGCTCCAGAGCCAGGAAGAGCCCGTCTGGGCCACCACGAGGAGGCTGTGGAGGTTTTAGGGGCAGGTACATGAGTGCCCCTGGGCTGGGACTTGCCTCAGCTCCTCTAGATCCCATCGAAGGCTTCAGCAGCGAGGGCAGTGCGGCAGGAACCCCCCTAGATGGGGGCAGTGCCCAGGGACGGGTCCCTCCCCACTGAACCCCTCGGACGGATGCTCATCCCCAGGACCAAGCTGTGCACCCGGCTGGGTGACACTCACCAGAGCCAGGGGGTTCCAAGACGGAGGGCAGGAATCAGGTGCCCCTCTGCTCACCTGCTGCTGGGTCTGCAGGGCTGGACACACGGGGGGGTCAAGGGGACCCCGTCGAGGGGGTCGAGGGGGCAGGGATGAGGCCCTCACCGCTGGGTATGAGCCCCGTCAGCTCCGGGTGAGCACGGAGCCCCACGCAGAGGAAATGAGGGTTCAACCCAAAATCCCCACCACCCCCAGCACAGCACTTCTGCTTTCCTCTGCCACTTCCTGTGCTGCTGCTGCAGCTGCTGAGCCAGGGGAGCCGGGCACGCCCCCCCCCACAGGGCATGGGGGGCTGGGGACACTGCTCCATCACCCTTCCTCGTGGCACAAGGATACTGCGAGTGGCAGCTTTGTCTCCAGAGCAAAACTTGAGGCCAGGCAGGAGATGCAGAGCGAGGCCAGGGCTGAAGCAAACGGGCTGGAGGCACCTCTCAGACTGGGGAGCCCAACACACAGGCAGCACCAAGGCCCAGGGGAAGCTGTTGGGCTCTGCCAAGTTGGAGCTGGCCAAGGACACCCCGTTGGGTGAGACCCCATCACAGGGGAAGACCCTGCCTTCAATCCTCCCCCTGTGCTGGGCACTGGTGAGGCTGCATCTCAAATGCTGGGGTCAGTTCTGGGCCCCTCAGCACAGGAAGGACATGGAGGGGCTGGAGCGTGTCCAGGGAAGGGCAGGGGGGGTGGGGAGAAGGGGCTGGAGCACAAGTGTGAGCAGGAGCAGCTGAGGGAGCTGGGGGTTCAGCCTGGAGACAAGGAGCTGAGGGGAGACCTGCTGGCTCTGCAGCTGCTGAGAGGAGGTTGGAGCCAGGGGGGTCGGGCTCTGCTCCCCAGGAACAAGGGATGGGACAAGAGGAAATGGCCTCAAGTTGTACCAGGGGAGGTTTAGATTGGGTATTAGGAACAATTTATTGCCCAAAAGGGCTGTCAGGCCCTGGCCCAGGCTGCCCAGAGCAGGGGTGGAGTCCCCATCCCTGGAGGGATTTCAAAGCCTATAGATGTGGTGCTGAGGGATGTGGGGCAGGGGTGGCCTTGGCAGCGCTGGGTTAGTGATTGCACTTGATGATCTTGAAGGTATTTTCCAACCCAAACAAGTCTATGATCACCACACAGCCCAGGTAAGCTGAGACCCCCACTCACCCACTGCTGGAGGAGGAAGCCAGAGCACGGGGGTGGCACTGGGAGGGCCACTGTGTTCCCCTCACCTCACCTGCTGCCCCCATGGCCCTGCCAGAGCCTGCTGCCCTCCTCTGCCCCCCAGGGAGCACAGGCTGCTCAGTCCCCAGAGTGACCCCCAGGGGACTGGTGGAGTCATTCCCCACTCCAAACCCACCACACTCCCCTGTGGGGCCCTCAAGCCCCTGCTGCTGCAGCGCAGACTGTGATGGAGCAGGAAGTAGGACCCATTTGGTGGTGCAGGCTCCCTCTACAAGCAAAACACTGAGCTCCTGTTTTTAAAAAATACACAAGAATCTGTGCCCTGTGCTGCCCCAGCAGCTCAGCAGCCTCCAGCACCAGGGGGAACCCACACGGAGCTTGCCAAGGTTTGCCACAGCATCTGTGACAGGTGTCAGGCTCACCAGAAATTTATTAGTAGCTTATAGCAAGAAGGCACCAGAAGCAGGAGCAGGTCCCAGTGTCACCCAGGCTGGCACTCAGGGTGAGCCCTGCTCTGCAGTGCCTACAGCTTCTTGCCCTTCTTCAGCCTGTTGCGGTGCCACGTGTTGTACTTCCGCAGGCGCCTCCAGTACTGGATGGAGTCAGGGTCCAGTTCCTCCAGCTTCTTGGGGGGCCCGAGGTGGATTTTAAAGAGCCTGGGGACAAAGGAAAAGGAGATGAGGCTGCAGCAGGGAGGGCAAAGGGAATAGCACAGGGCAGAGCAATGGAAGTGCTTGAGCAGGACATGCAGATCCCTCACCCCAGGTGCAGCCCACTCTCCTGCCCTGGTCCTCGGGGAAGGCCTCTGGGCTGCAGTGCCAGTTTTCCTCCTCCCAGAACAGTTCCCAGTCTCTCCTACATCCATCTGTGCCTCTGGAATGGCACCTCTGTATGGACCAGCACCCCCGGAGGGACCTGCATTCCGTGCACAGTGAAGGTGCAGGCAGCACCTACCAGTCCGGGTACTCAGAGTCGGGTTTCAGGGCCACCTCTGGGCCATCCTTGAAGTAGTTGACCCCCATGGCGTAGTTGGCGAGCATGGTGGGGTCCGTGCACACCTCGGGCGCCTTCAGCCCCTCCTTCGGCGCGCCCTTGCCCTTGGGCTTCACAGCTGAGGAGACAAGGGCAGGTCAGGACAGGGGATGTGCCGGGGGACTGAGATGCAGGCGAGGGAAGGGACGGGGGCTCAGCACGGGCAGGGGATGGGGACGTGGCCGCAGCGAGGTGAAGCAGCCCCGGGACACGGCGGGTACAAGGGGTGCAGGGGATGGGGAAGGAGCTGGGGCGGGGGCGAGGATGTGGGGCGAGGGGACAGGGGACAAGGGACACGGGAAACGGGACGAGGGACACGGGACAAGGGACAAGGCTGCCGGCGAGGACGGAGCAGGGACAAGGCCGGTGCCGCGACACAGGGCCGGGGGGGG